TGGTAAATGTGAAAGATATATATATTTTTTTAACATGTTCGATAAGAGCTTGAAAGAGAAGCGATTCTCAAAAAATAAAAATAAAATCAGAGCTTAATAAGATGTACGGATCAATTTAAGCATTATCCAATTATGAGATGTTGTCACATTCCTTAGAGAAACATGTGACATGTAACAACGAATGATGAATAGGTACAAAGAACTTGTCATTTATTCACTTAGGGCATGAATTCAAAAATATTGTCTCTTTCATGTATCACTAGTTCTCTTGTCAATGATGTAGTCGCCGTGAATTTCACGGCATTACAATTCATCAAGGACATGAATAGACATTAAGAATTGTCTCCTTTAACTCTATTTTCGAAAAAGAAAATAAATTGTAAAATAACAACGTACTTCATCGATCAATTTCCTTTTTTATTTTTATTTTTTTACTATTTATATTACGCAATTGATTTTCTTTTTTCTATATGAGTTATTAGAAAACAAAATATAATTCAGATTACATTAAAAAAAAAAAAGATTAAAATAGATGGAAGCTGACATGGACCTTAACCCATGCAACGAATGAAGAACAAAGGACAAAAATAAAACACCTATGCCCCAGCTTGGCACCACCCTAGCCAATCATCATCGATAAGTCAAACTTTTTTTTTTTTTTTTAATTTTAATAATGAATTTTGACTTTTTCTGGAAATAAAAATTAATAATTCATAGGTCATGGCTGCCTCCCAAGAAATATAAATTTTAATTTATAGTGATCTAAGGCTCAAAAGGGCATGTATAAAAAAAAAAAAAATTAGGTATCTCGTGCCTGAAAATGAATATTGGTTAATTTAGAAATTATTTATTAATTTCGTGTTTGATTATTAGTTGGGATTCATTAATTTATTCAATATACAATTAGGTTTTCTTGATTTAAAATCTATGGGGGTCTAGCCCGTAGGCCGTAGACTTTTGGATACTATTATTATATGATTCTCCACAAAAAAAAAAAAAAAAAATGGGTGGATAAGAATTTTTTTTAGTTGTAATGCATGGACAAGAATAGATTCTTATTTTAATTTGCAGCAAATTAAGGAAAATACTCTTGAAATGGAAAGCATATCCTACATCAGTTTAAGCCCATGGTTTACAATTTTTGACAAAATGAATCTTTGAATTTAATACGGCACCGTTCGTCATCCTTTAAAAAATTATTAGGGTGTTTGGTGGAGATTAAAATTAAATTTTTAGTAAATTATGATAGAAATTTTTGAAATGTATGCAGGGATGACAAAAAAATTCGATAAATTCGATACTTCCAGGCCCCGCCCCGAACGGGGTGGGGATAACCCGCTTAAACGAGTATTCAGGGCAAGGACGGGTAACGGGCGCCCCGCCCGTTAAAATTATATATATTTTTTTTAAATTCAATACTTGAAATGAAAAAATTCATGAAATTTCATTAATTATAATATAAAATAGCAACTAAAATTATTTGTTTAAATTTAATGAATATGTGCAATAAAAATAAATTATCAAAAATAAAAAAAATTTAAACGGGTATTAAACGGAGGAGGGCCCCACCCCGCCAACGGGTAACGTGGCGGGGAATTTCTTAGAAGAGCGCGGTGGGGCTGGGGGAACGTTGCCATCCATAAATATATGATTGAAAAGTTGTGGAACCCATGAAAGATATGATTAATATTGATTGTTTGACTTTGACTAGATTAAAATCATATTTTAATCCAAACCAAATTGGGGCTATATTGTTTGCTACGTTATCATTTCTCCACCACATATTCACATAATAAAATATTCTACACACAAACCAATAAAGTTAACCACGCATTTTTCAAAAAAAATATTATTCTGTAACTTATTATTCTCAAATAAATTCTAAACATGTACTAAATAAATTAGTGGTATGTTAAAAAGCACTTAGGGGGTGTCCTCAATTAAAATTGTGATGAATTTTAAAAATCCTTCTAAATTTAGGTGTCTTCAATTGAGATTTTAATGAATTTTAATTAAGTTCATTAAAATTTAAGTGTCCCGAATTGAAATTTTAATGAAATCCTTCAAAATTTAGGTATCCTCAATAAGTGGTAGATTTATAAATATTTTATTAATGGATAGATTTTAAAAGATTTTGATGAATTTCAAGCTTAAAAATATTTATCCAAATTTTTTATTTGTAGCTATATAGTTTTCTACCTACATAGCCCCTGTTCGGTTCAGAGAAAAATCAGATTTTTAATAAAAATTAATAGAATATGTTGTTGAAAAATTGTGGGTGTTACACTTGATGACATGTAAAACTAAAATGGTATCCAATTTACAAATTGGCTGGTCGGTTTGTTTGACGTTATCCAATTTACAAATTTTACAAAATGGTCAAAAACTTTGAGTTGTTGCTTTATTTTGTAGTCATTTTGAGTTTTTGTGAATATTGAATTGAGAAATTTGAAATTTTTTTATAAAAGTTGGGATATCAAGAAATATGTGAATACAATTACTTATTAATTTTGACGGCAATATTTTTAACTTTTTCCAAATAAATACATAGTCCCTATTTGGTGAGGATTTAAATCAGATTTTTAGTATATTTAAAAAAAAAAAAATCGATGAAATGTGTTATTTAAAAATTGTGAGTCCTACGAAATATATGATTAAAATTAATTGTTGACTTTGATTTCGACTTCAATTTTAATCCCTTCCAAACAAGGGCTTTGTATTAAAAGGACACAACATGATATGGTTGAAAAAAGATAAGCATGAAATGCTAAGTCCTATGGCATAATTTTCGAGAAAGCAAAACGAGCTTTCGAGAGATCAAAAATGTTAATTTTATGAAAGTATTTTTCTAGTTAGAAGAGTTTTTATTGAAAGCTGGTCTTATATTACTTCTTCTAAAAGTATTTTCAGAATATGAACTTCTTTAAAAATGAAATTTCAAACAAAAGTTGAGTTTACTTTTGCAAGAATCTCTTTTACATGAAAAAAAAGCAAAAAATAAAAGTCATGCCAAACAGGCACTAACCACGTTTGAGGTCGTCTTCATATGACCAAGTCCTTACATGTGGAACTCTAATCATTTCATCAGTGTGATAAAAAAAAATTTATTGGTCAAGAAATGCGCGCGTAAAAGTAAAAGTAATAATAAGTAGTCTTTAATTATGCCTGTAGCAAAGTTGAAGATAATAGAGAATGAATCAAAAATCTACGGCAGCAACACTGTTAATTACGACAATGCCATCACAGAACTTTGGACGAAGACTCGTCTTTAAGAAGACGTCATTTCCTCGAATCACCCACGTAACTTCCACGTAGATCGTGGTATCAACATAATTTTCAAAATAATAAAAATGAATTAGATTAACTTTCGATTTTTCAATTTTTCCTTCACGTTTTTTTATTTTCGACGCTTGAATTAGATTGAATAAGGAATAAAATAATTATATTTAAAACTTATGCAGTCTTTGTTATGAATTTCCTATTATTAATTATCAATTAATTAACATTCACATTCATTGAATTAATATTTATCTTTGTTTTGCATTTCAATATTATCAAATTCCATTTTCCATCTTTAGTAGTGTTTGAAGACACAAAATTTCCATGAAAATGATTTTCCACAAACACCTCACACGTACACATTTTCCCTTTTTTGCTTGAATTGGTTTTCCCACCTTTTTGATAGGAAAATGGAATTCGACTTTTTTTTTTTAATGCAATTGGAATAAATTTTATAACCAATTGTAAAAAAAATTTATTTTAATGGACAATTTTCATATAAAATAAAGTTAAACGAACACTAAATTTTGACAAAAAAATGACTTTTTTGTCAATATTTTTATTTGTTTTTTTTACTTTTTGGCAATAGAAAATTTTTTTATAACCAATTGTAAAAAAAAAATTATTACTTTAATGGACAAATTTCATGTAAAACAGAGTCAAACAGACATAAAATTTTAAAATTTTTTGGGTGAAAAATCATATCAA